CACACGATTAAGGTTTTTGCAATAGTGGCTACAGAAAAAGAACTACAAATTTAAAAATGAAAGAACATCACCTTCTAGCTTCTTCGTCTCTCAATTTGATGTCCAGTTCTTTACTAGGAGGAAATTTAGGTAAGCTTTCCGGTTCACAGGCATATGGTTCGGTCGTGAAAAACTGATTTGAAAAGATAAATAATTACATCTCTAATACAATTATTAAAATGAAAAAAATGGCATCTCCCATATAAATATTAAAATGTACAGAGTTGAACTGAAGTTGTGTAATAGTACAAGATTTCAAATGAATTAACATAATGTATTAACTAAATGGCATCTCCAATAAAATTGGAGATGTTATTATTTCATGACCAAAACCTTATCCTTTACTGTATAGTCAAATAAGGGGAAAACAAGTATATCTACCTAAAACTGTAAAATTCTGCATGTGGTAACCTTCAGCTACAAGCTTATCTGAATTATATTAACCTAACTAGTAAAAGACCCAGTTATTTATTGGTGAAGTTTCTTTAAAGATACTTGGAATTGTTTGCAATGGTTAATGGCAGTTTGCCCTCCAAACTATAGCTTTTCATGAACTCCACTCTTTGGACTTTGGAAAAGCATATTTTTACCCTGAATATTGCACTTCACTCCCTCTAATCCTCTCCCAACAAAAAGCTGACATGTGTCATTTCATGATAAGTCCAAGTCAGCCCTCAAACAGTTAAGTGGAAAATTTTCTCAGTTATGCATGGAAAAGAGAGATTTTTATCATGAAAATTGCGAAAAAGGGAGATTATAATAAACTTACTTCACTATTCAATGCTGCTGTTGCTGTACCTCGTGCATCGGGATCAATGGCAAGAAGAGATTCTAAAAGCGAAAGGGCAGTTTGTGGAAAATCCTTAAAAGTCTCTGCCAGACATCGCTTGTAAGGTTGTTGAGGTTTATAAAGAGTTGCGTTCGGTAGTCGAGACTTTTTCCAATATTCTTCAGATGGTGAGCCGCATAGTTTAAATATCTTGTGCAGTTGCTCAACCTACAAGGAAAGTTATACATATTGTGAAGAAAATGATTATCAAAATGTAAGTATCTGGCTGACCACAACTCACAAGAAAAAAAGTAATGTTAAAGAGAAAAATCTATTAACCTTGATGACGTATGACCCGAGTATAAAGATAACTACTTTCCAAAAATACAATTAACACATCTAACACCCAGAAAATGTGTTTCGATTTTAAAAAATCTGACAAATATATCCTAGAGGGATATTTATTTTAAGATATACAAACTTCAGGGGGGAAAATTATGGTTGTAAAACGAGCGAACCTTTTCTTTTTAAAACTTAACTTCGAGGTGAAGTTTGTAAATCATCCCATTAAGTGGAAATTTACAAGGTTTGTACTCAATATAGCTCCTTCATCTGTGTATCTTCCTTTTTTTTTTTTTTNAAGCGAGTTAAGCTTGCTAGGCACCCACTTAATTACCACAAATGGCAAGGATCATATACTTGTGCATTAGTAAATTAGCATAATATAACTAGTATAGTGAGCTGGACTTAAGGCTCATGAAGAAACAAAAAAAGTGATTCTGATTTACTTTTGTGAAACTAAAATATAGTTCTTCAAAAATATTTGGTTTACTTTATAAAATACCCCTTGATTTCAATCTACTCAAAAATCACAATAAATATCCAGCAAATTTACCTCTGTTCTTCCACGCAATATTGGCTTCCCAGCAAGCAACTCTGCAAGAATACACCCAGCACTCCATAAATCAACACCAACCCCATAATAAGTGGCCCCAAGCAAAAGCTCGGGTGGACGGTACCAAAGTGTTATAACGCGGCTCGTCATTGGCCTCTTGTGCTCAGGCTCGTAAAACGAGGCCAGCCCAAAATCGGCTATTCTCAAAACACCATCATTGCCGATTAGCAAATTAGAGCACTTAATATCTCTGTGTAATACTCCATTATTGTGGCAGTGCTCTAGACCGGAAAGCAACTGTTTCATATAGCATTTGACCTGAAAACATAGAATTCTTCGAAATTAATCTTTGCTGTAAGTGAAAACTGTATAACTAAATAAACATAAATTCGGGTCATCCCTTTTTTGCTGGGCATAGCTTTCACAAATCGAGCTAATTCATTTTAGGAAGTCATGCAATTCCATTGACATTCGGTTCTTCTAATGCATTATTGGTGCTACTTATTTATTTTGACACTTTAATGATGCTCTTCTTTTACGTTCTCGATTTTGAGAAATATAAAAACATTTAAGTTCTCAATGACTCTTTCAGACTATGAAAACAAGATTCATTCTTGCATGTGAAGAGAGGAATTCATCTAAAATTAAGCGAATTGAAAAGTTGCTTCTTGCAAAACGTACTCTCTTCTGGTTATTCAGCTAATAAACGAGATCTTTTATAATTATAGATTCTGTGGAATATATAGATTACACCAATTATATAAAATTTAAAAGAAGCTTCCTAGCAGTGATATATAAATGGGAACAAGAAATATGTAGTTTTGTTTTATATAACCAGAATCTGATGCTTTGCAATTAGCGTGTCTAATGTTAAACAAGAAACTTTGTTAGACATCAAAACTCCAAATTTTGGGACCAATGACAATGAAAGGTTTATCAATAGCATCCAAAAAACCACATGATTCAAAAATAGCATGAAAATGCCACCATATAAATCCAATAATTTCATATTCTTCTATGAAAGGTGTCAAAACGTTTGAAAAACAAGTTCAAATACCATTTACGCCAACTGTCACTAAAAGTTTCGCAAATCTCCATCATGCAATAAAATACAAATAATAATTTATCACAATTCAAACCACACAGTGCGTAATCTGGACAAAATTCACATATCCACTGAAATACTACAAAAAGATGTATGCTAAAGTCAGCCAAACCAACTAAACCTTTTCCCACTCATTAAAATTAAACACAATCAAACTCATTATAAGTTACGGTAAATCGACAGAATATTCTTTTTTTCTCACTCGAGAAATGTACTAACCTGAGGCTCTGTGAACTTGACACTTTGTACAGCAGCAAGGCCAGCAAGATCATGCTCCATATACTCAAAAACAAGATAAAGACTACTTGACATCCTTGAAATAACTAAGCCCTCGAGCTTAATTACATTTGGATGATTTAGCCTTCTTAATACAAGTATTTCTCTAGCCATGAACTTCACAGTTTCAGGCTCCAAGTTATCGAACCTGACTTTTTTTAGTGCCACCACTTTTCCAGTGATCAAATCCCTGGCTTTATACACATTGCTGTATGTACCTTGCCCAATCTGCGTAATTATACCAAAATTCAACCTTCCAAAATTTCAGAGTTAATTCATATACAAAAACTAACAAGTGCTTTGTAAACAGAATATGTGACTAAACGATCTATGCATTTTCAAACTCAACTAGATCAACACACAATACAAACCCATAGCAAATGTTTTTGTAATGTAACAAGAACAACATTAATGAATGACAATTAAAAAACAAAAAACAAAAAAACAAAAAAGAGAGAGAGAGAGAGAGAGAGAATCATTGTCCTGAAAGCATTGGAAATGAAGGGCACCAAAAGCTGCTGTACCTTTGGCTGGGAAATTAGTACATTGCACTAGTAGAATTAAACCCACTCATCCCCATCGTCAACTCTAAAGAGTAAAGCACACTAAACGCATGCATCTCATCATTGTACCTCCCAAGTCGGTAACTTTACCTTTTTTTATTTCTTTAATTAATGATAAAAGGTAAGGCGTAGAAAGAAAAAAAAAATGTCGGTTTACCTTATCGAGCTTCTCGAATGTGTTGGCTCGGCGGGGTTTCCAGTCCTTAATGGCTTGCCCAGCGACGTCGTTTAGCCACGATGGCCACCCGTCGCCGCCAGTAGAGAAGCCCCTTCTCAGCCGGAAATCCGGCACCTCCGCCGCTGAAGACGGCACCGGAACCTCTTCGATCTTCTTCCCCTTCCCTCTTTCCGGCACTTCGTTTTCCACCGGGCCGGCGGCGGATTCCGAATCCCGACGGTCATCGTTCTTCTGCTTCCGCCGAGTCTTTATTCTGCCGGTGGCCCTACCGAGAACGCACCCCATCACCAAGAAATTGTTTTCTTGGTATAACTATCGCAATTGTTAGCTGCCCATTTCATCAGGATTTCAGGGGAAAAAAAATCCAGAAGCATTAAAATAAAAAATAAAAATGGAATCTTGCAAGAGATAGTTAGAAAGAAGTACTCCGCATTTATTGCGCTGTCACGAGTGTGTGTGTGTGTGTGTGTGTGTGTGTCTGCGTGTATGTCTTATTGATGCAAACGAGACAGTAGAACAGCAAAAATAATAATTCCTCTATACAAATTAAGTTTGGAAAGAATTAAGAAAACAAGAAAAAAAAGGCATAAGGATGAACGATGAGTAGTCGAATCATCCAGCAAGAAAACCAGATAGAAGAGAAAAATTAATCCAAAAGAAAAAAAGAAACCAGCAATAACAATAAAGAAATAGAAGTTGAACCAATTGGGTCATAGTACTCTGCTGTGAGGCCGAGCATTTATTGCTGTACGTCAGTCTGAGTTTGTATTTGAAAATTGAGCAATAAAAAACTACTTATTCAGGTATGTATATATATACAGTTTCTGTATATACATTTGTGTCTGTGTGTGTGTTTCAGTATGTGTGATAAGGTGTGGGTTGGAAATTAATTTAATCAACATAATGATATTGGCAGAAAGAAAGTTGGAGAAGACTTTTCTACTGCAGGATTCTGGCAAAACGAAGCTCGGTCTAAAAGAAAAGAATTTCAACTTTTCCTTTGCTTTTATTTCCAAAACGATAGACTTTCATTAATAAATACATAATTAGTACAACACCAGTATATTACACGGGTACTTGTTAGAAAATTATTTTAAATTTTAAAATTAATAAAAAAAATTATTTTAAATTTTATTTACTTTTTACAAATATGTATTATTATATATTTTGGAATGACACTTGTTACTTGTGAGACTTACATGCATGTGTTATATTATAGTAAATTTTATAACTTATATCATATAATTATTTGAAATATAAATATATTAACTGATAAATAATTTTATTTTTTAATTAATATTAAAAAATAAATTCTATTATTGTTGTAAAGATATAATTTATTTTTTTTATACAGACAATATAGATGTTAAATCGAAGTTCATCAAGAAATAATTAATTTAATATATTATATATGTAAAACTGATAAAAATACAAAAGTTATTAACTTTTAAAATATATTTACAATTCAATGGCTATAATAAGAAATTATATTAAAATGCAATTAATACATGTAACATGAACATAAATAATCAACATATTTATAGATAATCAACATGAACATAAATAATCAACATATTCATGGAAGAAATGTCGTAGTGCTCATACCTGACGGGTCTGAAGGCTTCCAACCAAGTGTTGTTCATACATCTTGGACATCCAAAAAGCCTGAAAGACGGTTCTATTCATGCAATTATTATAAGGTATTTTTCAATTTAGTTTATGAATGAAGAACCCTAATTTTCAATAAATTTTCAATTTTTTTTTTCGTTTTCTATTACTCATAGAGGAGGGTGCAGTTATTTTCGTGGGCTGATGAGCCGATATGCACCTGGTCGAATCAATTGGTCCCTGTACTATTGCACAAATCGAACGAGCTGCGTCTTCTTGTTCAACAAATACAGGAAAAAAATGATAAACTCAAGGAGAAAAAAGATTTTGGCAGCTGAGATGAAAAGACTGAATATGTCCATGCAGACCAAGTCTAAGAGTACAATGTGGATGTTCTTTGTTGTATCTGTTATAATTTTGTATTAGTACCTGAATAAAAATTGTGGTGCCTAGCAAGGGCGGAGCTAGAATTTAAATCCTACCCAGGCTAGAATATTAACAAAATATATTTAAGAAATACATATAAATTAAACTCTTTGTGATAATAGTAATTATAACAAACAACCAACTTTATTCTTTTTTAAATTAATTTATTCATTATTAATTAAAATTATTTATCATGACTATTACATGAAATAAGTTTGAAATATTATTATAATATAGAACGAACAAATCTTACATGTAATGAATTTTATTTTAAATTAAAAAAATTAAAGCGTATTTGATAATTTAAATAAAAACTTCTATTGTATTTTTACATTTTTAAGTATAAAATTTCAAATAACATCCTAATAATATACGTGTGCTATCATGCCTATTACATTATATAAGTAGGAAATATTACAGAATAAAAACAAATCTTACGTTTAATGGATTTCATTTTAAATAAATAAAAGAAGAGTATTTGATAATTTAAATAAAAAATTGTATTTTATTTTTACATTTTTAATCAATAAAGCATCCTTATTGTATACTGGTGCAGTGGTGCTACATAGGATAAGATGATAATGCGTATGCTTTTTATATTCTTAATTATTTGAGATATAAGCTTAATGTAAATTAAGTGCCCTGAAGAATTCCACCCGGGCTGCAGCCCAGATAAGAGAGCACTTTGCTCCGCCCCTGGTGCCTTGTGGTTATTTAAAATGATTGAATAAACTAGTTTAGTGAATGTATTGGTGAAGTTGTGACATGTATGTTCCCTGCATTTGTGATTTTATAATTTTAGTCTTTATGGCTGGCTGGAATGTATGAAGTTTGATGAATTGAATTGGTTCTACACAGTTGTGTTTTTAATTCTTTTGTTTATGTATATTGAATGGATTGGTTGAAGTTTGACATCCTGTATGTCAAGTTTTAAGGTGTGTGCTTCATTCTGTTTATGTTTAAATAGCATTTGTTATTTCTAACAAGTACATTTCATTTCCAAAAGCAAATGTTTGATATGATAAGCAAATGTTCCACATGATCAATACGGTCAACATATTTTCATAAGTAAAAGAATAGATTTCATTTATTGCAACCACATTGTCTGAATTTGGACATCTAACAAAAGCAAAACCCAAAAGCAGTTGTTCAAGTATATAACCTCAAAAACAACTAGAACAAGTACAAGAGTTTATACATGTCTTCCCACAATCAAAAGCAAGAGTTTATACATGTCTTCCTAAAATCGAACAAGTCTATTAAAGCTCGAAAAATAATAGCTCGTTTGATAATGAGGGGACTAGATTATATAGCATATAAGAATAGCTCAGTTAAACCGGTTGTAGTTAGCTCAGCAGACAGAAGAGTAGTTATAGCTTAGCAGACCAAGGAAGTAGTTATAGCTCGGCATATAGAGAGTTCGAAAAATATGTCAATATTGGTAGCTCAGCATATAGGGAGCTCGAACAATGTGTTAGCTTGGCATATAAGAAGCTCAGACAACCTGGAAAATACAGATAGATTTGCAGCTCGGGTGTTGAAGAGCTCGGCATTCAGTAGTCGGTAAGTGGCTCCAGTAAGAGGATTGGCCTACGTAATCAGTCGGGTCTAAGTTGTTCACAAGGGACACATTTAGGGCCGTGGATAAAATGAATAAACAATCGGATAGATAAAAATAAATCCAAGATAACTGACGGGTAGGCCTAGGGGTAGCCTATTAACCGACGGGTAGCCCACCCGGGTAGAAAGGGCAGTAGGGCAGGCCTTCAGGCAATCAGGCAGGACACAAGCTTGTTCAGGAAGCTAATAATTCTCTGTAAAAATGTGGAATTATGAAAAAGTAAAGACTAATCACACTTTATACATTCTAACTTTCAGTATATTTCCATATAGTTTTTCATATCGCTTTACTGACTTGAGCGTCAGAGGTTTAACGCCGGGAACCTCTCCCGGCGTCTTTGCAGGTCTCCGGTGAGCAAAACAGTTGAGGGATCGTGGAGAGCTTATTTGAGGTGCAGGAGCACATCACTTCTGGGGAAGGCACCGAAAAAAGTGAGAGGGGCTAGGAGAAAATAGGGGGATTTTTTTGGGTGGTGCTTGTCTAAGATAAAGGTAAGTTTTACACATCACATGTATAAAAAAAAATATAAACATTCCATGTAAAATATCCCGAATTTTTCTTACTCGTGTCACATCACTAAGCCAATTCACAAAGACACATACTCTATCTTGCCACCAATCACTTGTGGGATCAAGTGTGATTAGTAGACCGAAATTGAAGAAAAATACAACTTAATGCTCATTCAATTGCCAAACCATATGCTATCAGCAAGTACTCTCCAGCCATTATTCATTTTTCTTTGCTGATGATACCATTGTTTTTAGTAAAGCTTATATTTTTCATGCTCATTTTGTTGTGAATATTGTGAGTAACTATGCAATGGCTACTGGTGAAGAAGTGAATATTGATAAATCCTCTGTGCTTTTCTCTAACAATAACCCTGACAGAACCAAATTTGAGATATGTTTTATGCTTGATGGGATCTCTGTTGTTAAGTCATCTAGGTATATAGGTCTGCATTTAGGTATACAAAGGTCCAAAAAAGGAACTTTTAAATTTGTGATAGATAGTATGATGGCTAAGCTCAGTAAGTGGAAGAATAAGTTTCTTAGTACTGTCATGAAAACAGTCATATGTTCCATGCCAACTTATGTGATGTCATGCTTTAAAATTCCATTGGCTATTCATAAATAATTTTCCAGGTTGACAACCTTTTTTTGGTGGGGATTAAATGAAGATAGCAACAAGAAGATTCACTGGGCTTCTTGAGATAAATTTTCTTAGCCTAGAGAGGAAGGTTAATGATACGGATAGCACGTGAGACCCATTGGATATATTGATCCAAGAACCAAACGTATATGTAGGCAGCGGAATCCCAGATCGGAGATCTAGTTTGATCGTACCTAGAGCTTGAAAACCTCGACCCGTTAGCTATATGATCAGCTAGGAACCTCGGTATGGTGAACGCCACAAGATCTTGCTCAAGTATCTTGATAAGTTCTCAAAAACAATTGAAACTCTACAAAAGAGAATTCAAACTCACAAAAGTGATTTTTAATATTCAGCAATATTTATAATAATGATTAAAACATAAAATATCCTTTTTAAAGGCTATAAATGGTGCTAATGAGTTAATCCCATTTTTGGGACTCATTATGCACTAAAACATAGTTTTGACCACATAATGAATCTTACATGAGGTTTGAATGACCTTTTGACTTCTAAGATAACTGAAGAGCCATTTTGGTCTCAAAAATGCTGAAAATGGACAAAATAATGGACACTTTAATTGGGCTTCACTCAATGGACGAAATTAAGTCTTCAATCTATAGATTAGTCTTTATGCGAACAATCTGGCCCATCAACTTGAAGAATATTCACCATTTTGCCTTCAATCGGTATTTCTTACGTCTTCTCTTAAAATTCAACAGTAAGACACTCATGGCTTCCTTCATTTTACTAGCCATTTCCCTTATGATCAGCTCTGGATTTATTTGAAACAAATCAATCTTACTGTGAATGGAGAGCTTCGACCGAACCCCATCAGTTGACTTGGGTTTAGGAATCTTTATCCTTTAATGAGACCATTTTAGTCAAGCACCTATGGAGAATAACTACTAAACCAAATATGCTCATGATCAAGGTGGTGAAAGGAAAACACTTCCACAACACAAATCTGATGGATGCTCTGCACAAAAATTCTGATTCCTGGTTGTTGAGTTCCTAGCTTACGGCTAGAGTGCATCTAAAGAAGGGAATCAAATTTCAGATTAGAGATGGGAAGGCTATCTTTATTTGGAGTTCACCTTGGATTTCTAATGCCCCTGAATTCTTGCCTTCTTTTCCCTTTGAAGCTGATAAGTCTAGACCTAGAATGGTCTGTCATCTCATGTGGGGACGGAAGCAGATGGGATAGAAAGTTAGTTTGTCAAACCTTTGTGACTTGTGAAGCTAACTTTATCCTTAAAATTTCCCTGAACAGAAGGATCAAAGAGACAAACCGATTTGACACCATGAAAAAATGGTCTTGTCACTGTTTAGCTATTTATCTGACAATTGTCAGTTGCAAAAAAAGTGGACTAAAAAATTCTGAATCAAGCAAAACTCAACCAACGTAAGGAGGATGTGTAAGAAAACTTGTTATCCCAAGGTGAACAAGATAAAGAATTTTATGTGGATGTGTTAGCACAAGTATTTGGGTACCTATGACTAACTCGGAAGAAAGGGTTAAATGAAGACACCATTTGTAATATGTGTGAAAATGAGAAGGAAGACCTAGAGCATATTCTTTTCAATTGACAAAAGCCATGAAGGTGTGGAAACTTGTTGGAATTGATTGACTTGGAATACAGGATTAAACCCATTCCTTTAGGACCTAGTGGTCTGAAATTTTCCTCATTGATGATGCCAGATGCCTAACTGATAGAATGATCTTATCCACTGATATACTCTGGTGATATTGGAAGACCTGAAACAATTAGGTCTTTAATAAAATTTGGAGGAATAAATTTAAAGTGGCAAGGGGCTAGAAAACCATGGCTTGAGCCTGAAGAGGCTTACATAAAGGCATCTAAGACTGAGAGTCCAAAAGAGGTGCAATTTGTTAGCAAGTTGGAATAAGCTTCTAATAAAACAGTAGGTCGACTTTTTGTTGTTGTCAGTGTTGGTTTATCTTCTTCTGGGGTATTGAGCATTGGAGAGGTTATGTGTGGGAATGGTTTGAAGATTGATTTGGGGAGATCTACTATGGAACAAATTACTAATCTAGTGGAAGGTATTCTAGCTACTGTTAAAGTTGGACTGGAAAGGGCTAGTCAGCTGCATTGGGGAAGTTTGCTTTTGTTTATAGATGCCGAAGATATTGGAGAACTTCTTATCAAGAAAGTTGCACTTGGTGGAAAAAAGAAAGCAATATATGAAGGCATCACTTATTTAATGTTGCATTTCAATCCCTGTAATTTCTGTTGTAATAAGGAACTCTGTTTGGAAAGCTTGAACTTAGCTTTTAAATCTTTAGAGGGGAATGTAAACTACTAAGTTTTCCCCGTCTTTACTTGTCTACAACATGTAGATAAGGGTTTCTGTAACCAGTTGGTGCACCTATTGTAATCACTTGTTTGAGCTTTTTTATATAATATTTGACTTTATGAGGAAACCAAATCTATCATGATTGAAGTTAGAAACTTGATGAACCAAAAAAAAAAAAAAAGGAGGTTAAACTAGAAGATCAAAATTGAATCTTGTCGTCACATCACTGCCACATAACTTGCTACTTGGCAATTGTCAATTTTGATCGCAAAACATCAATTTCTAATTTTGGCAAACGTGATTAGTGGGTATATAGGCTTTGTTTGGGAGCACTTGTTCTACAAAAGTCCATCTTAAAAATGGACTTTTCATTAAGTGCATTTATAAAAGTTCTTACACAACTTTCACATATGTTTGGTGAATCTCATTTTAATTAAGTGTTTTAGTTAATAAATAATAATATTTTTTACACGTAAAAAAATCCTACCTACTACATATGATTTAAAATTATATTCTGGTGATCTTACACATACATATTACCTATGAACCATTTAAATATATTGATAATTAAGTTTTCATCTTTTTTTTACCTTTATCAAAATGATATTCAAAAATTATTTTTTATATCATTATTTAACCATATAATGTTATATGATTATTGATTTAAAACAAACAAAATTATGCAAACTATATTAGACCAATTTTCCCCGTGTAAGGTCTCATATATTACGAACATGCTTTAAAATGACACTAAAATGAAACACCAAATAAAAATACGTTATGTAAAAAATATTGGAAGCTATGACATACCTTTAGATCTGTCCACAATTGGAGTATATTTAACTGAAGAAGATAGATAAAATACAGTTCTTTATAACTGGAATAAGGAAATGAGAAAATTTGGGGGGAAGACGGAAAAAAAAAAAATGTGGAAATAATTGTGAAATAGGTTTCAGAAGTATCTAATTCCCACTTCTCCAAAATGGACTTACTGGGAAGTGGACTTTTCTCAAAAGTGCATTTAATATAAATCACCAAACACCCTAAAATCATTCAAATGGGCTTTTAAGTCTAGAAGCCCATTTCAAAAGTGTTTCCAAACACACACATAATTTGGCGTACTACATTTGGTGATAGTCAACATACCAGACTAATTTTAAAAAATAGTAAATATAGCTGATTATTTTAAAATTTTATCTCCTAATAATTTATTATACATAATCCTCTGTACTTGGTTACCATTGTTTAGGGTTAGTGAAAAAAATAACATAAATCTAGTTTAACTTAATACNTTGGAATGACAGAGAAAGCTCTATAGCCACAATGAAAAAGGAGTTTACACAAGAGAACCAACTAGTCCCATACAAACCAAAACCAATACAGAGAACCACACACATTCGTGACCTAAACACAAATAAACCAGATACAATTAGCTATGGACTATAGGCAAGCACATGCGCATCGAGACCTTTGGACTAAATCACAAAAGACATGCCAAAACCTACCGGTACATAAATACTAAAGAGAAAAGAAAGAAAGCCACTGAACTAACGGACCTAGCTTCCTATCATCCCTACAACCCATCTACGATTATTTTATGTACCTTCAGAAACTCCAACCACTCCTCCATGGCTGAGTTAACAATTGTTTTTTCTGGTTTCTAAACTTTCTGAAACATCTAGAAATTCCTCGATTTTCAAAGTCACCAGAGAATATATGTAGATAACTGGATTATGGGTTTAGAAGTTACTTTGTGATCCACTGTACACACTCCACCACCATTCCTTAAAGCTCCTTGCTGTAGACTTAATATCATTCCAGCAGAATGGGGCTAGCTTCCATACTTTTTGTGCTCTACTGCAATTGTAGAATATATGTTCTATATATGTGATGTTGTTCAAACATGTGTAAATGATAAAAAAAAGTACGTTTGAACTATTAGGGAATGATTGGATACAAAATATCCAATTATGACTGACCGGATATTTTTTTAACTCAAAATCTAACTTAAATTTAACCCAACTCAATTTTTCGATATTACCAACATAAATAAATAATACCAATCAATTATTGTACACATGTGGATATAACCATATAATTCAGCCTGTGTTTACACCTGTGGCCATAGGTGTACTTCTCATCACAGTTGTAGCAGAGGCCTTTGTCCCTTCTCACTGCCATCTCAGCAGCAGTGAGCATCTTAATTGGGTTTTTCTGTGGACCTTGTGGTGGTTTGGGTTGATAGAGAGGTGAGAATTCAGCTTTCTTAAATGGTTGAAATGTAGCAAGATAGGACTTGGTAGAATCCTTCAGTTTCTTAGTGATTTCCTCCAAGGTCACCAAGTGCTTTTTCCCAAGTCAATAGTTTGCTGCAAGGTGACAGGTTCAAACATATAGATAAAGGATTGCAGCTCCTCTGAAAGTCCACTGATAAAGCTTGCAATAAAATAGTCCTCAGTATACTCCTTGTTCATGCAAAGCATGCATGCCCTGAGTTCCTCAAATTTTTCAACATAATCAAGGTAGGACCCAGTGTACCTTAGTTTATTGAATTCACCAATGATTTTAGACTATTTCAGCTCCTCAAACCTGGCAGAAAAAACTTCCAAAAACTGGGACCAAGTGATATCAATACATTTAGTGCTGAAGTTTTGAAACCACTGTGCTGCCTTGCCTTCCAAGTGCATAGAAGCTAGATTTACTTTTTGTTGATCTGGAATATTAGGCATAATTCTGAAGTAGCTGTTACACTTCAAAATCCAAGCCCTAGGGTTGGTGCCATCAAAATGAGGAAAATCGATTTTGGGGAGAGGGCTAATAATGTGAGGGTGCTGGTTTTGCTGAGGGTGTTCTAACTGGGTTTTTTGTTTCAAAGGCTGCCTTGAGGGCCCATCTTGAAAGGGACCAAGTATGGATTCCTTACCATGGGTCTTGCTCCTATCCATATTGAGTAATTGCAGTTGCATAGAAGCAAGGGTATTTGTTAGATGATCGAATTTGCCATTCATACCCTGGATGTGAGATTTCATATCCCCGCTAACAGCTTTGATTTCAGTGCCTAACTGTGTGAACTGGTCCTGAAACTTCATTTCTGTTGTTTCACATTTCAGGTTTTCTGTTTGCATGAATTGCTCTAACCTTTTTTGTGTTTCCTCTAGATCTTTGAGGCGCGTACCTTCAGCCATGGCCAGGATCGTGGTTCGATGATACCAATTGTTAGGCTCGTGTACTTAATATGTATATTTTGTATTTTTTGGATTTTCTGATAATTTAGAGAAATGAAGTAGAAAGTTGGGGAAGATGAAGATATGAAGAAGAGAGAGAAACAAGAGTGAGAAAGAGATTTTTAGTTATGTCAAATCTGACAATTGCAGTTCATTCACCACGATTTTACCCTACAAGCGGGTCCCACAAGCTAACAAACAGATCATAAGAAAATGGGCTTAAACACACACCAGCCCAAACATTACTAAACAACATATTTAATTAATAAACTAGCCCAATACTAATAAATAACGAAAAAGCCCACTAATAATCCTCATGAGTCCCAACTTCGTTCACTTTTGAGTCTTCTTCTTCGAACTTCACGTCAAACCCTAACCCCTTCACTTCAGGTCCAATCGCCCCTTTTTCCTTAGAAATCTCATCGTCTTCCCCAAAGTGTCCTTCTTTTTTTATCGAGACCTGCTCTTCCTTACCCAAGTTAGCTACTTTATCCTCAAAGACCACATCTTTTTCATCTCCGGCATGCAAAATCATTCCTTTTTCATCGTCAGCGGCCGGGTATATGACATATCTTCACACATTACATCAATTTTGATTCATTATTCATCCACATACATAATTTCAACTAATCATCGCTTTCAATCATCTTTCTCCTACTTTTACATCACATCAATTTTAATATTTATTTTTTAAATACTATTTAAATATAAACTCAAAATCTCACTCAAACCAAACTCAATCAACTATTTTTTTTTTAAATTACCTAATTTTATTCAATCGATCAAGTCCAAAATAACTTATATTCAATCACACCCTCAGTATTTTAATGGATGTGATTGTTAAGGGCGTGCTTCGATATAAGTATATTCGTTGAAAACGAGTTTTTCTATTAACCAGAGTTAATTTTTGAAAAAAGTGGAATAGTTACTTGTAAGTAGAATTTTGAGTTTATATTAAAATAATATTTAAAATAAAATAATTAAAATTGATTTGATGTAAAAGTAGGAGAGAGATTATATGAAGTAATAGTTAGTTAAAATTATGCTAATGAATTGACAGTGAATTAAAATTGATGTGACGTGTAAGAATAATTGACCGGTATTATTTAATGATAATATTGGGAAAATAAAGTTGAGTTAAAGTTGAGTTATTTTGAATATGAATTAACTGTTAATTTATTTTTTTAATAAACAAACATACCCTAAATATTTTGGGGATGATGCCTTCTGTCTTGCTTTCATTCGGTGTCGGTGGTCTATGGGCTGCGGGTGTCGTTTGAAGTGGCGGGGTGGGCAGTTTTGACGTCGGTCTCTCAGAGTCATCTGTTGCGGTGTTTCGGGGGAAGTCTATGGGCCGTCAGTCCTGGTCGAGTTAGTGTAGCGGGAGTCCCTCGACCCGTGTGTTTGGGCTGAGGGCCGGAGGCTCTTCTGCTTTCCTGCTTTGGAGTCGTTTGGGTGGCGGAGGTCCCGGATGTTGATCGGCTGAAGGGGAGGGCGTCATGTTTTTGGTTGCTTTATTCGTTGCTTCTATGTGTTTAGTTTGTGTTGTTCGTTGTGTTCTATTGTAGTTGCTTTAGCTTGTCTGCTAGTGTTTGTGCTTTGGTTCGTTTTGTCAGTGTTTTCCCTCTTTCTCTTCCGCTGGAAGTGCGTTCGGTGTATTCTCCTGTTGGAAGCTTTTGTGTGTGTGTTTTTTTTCCCTTTTAGGGATAGTGTAGTTGTATTTTGTGTTTGCAGGTTGACTCTAAGCTACCGTCCGTGTGTCCGTTGTAAGTGTAGTTCTCTCTACTGGAGTCAACTATTCAGCTTATTCGGCCGTTGGCTATTTATTCAGCTGAGTAGCTGGTCTATAGTCTCGATTTTGTTGTGAATATAAGATTTTCTATCGTTGGAAAAAAAAAAGAGCTCTTTTTTTTGTGTAAAACAATTGGTTCCCAATTTCCAAAAGAGTAAATATTTCTCATTTATTGCAAGGGTATTGCAGTCTTTGGATTAATCACTCTCCATGTGGGCTCTTTCACAGTTGAGCGATTGGGCTATTTTCACAAGAAACGAATCCACAAATAATTTTGGTCGGGTGGGGGATTTACACTAGAACGTCATTCTTACTGACAGAAATTGGGGGAATACGGATGCGGTCCCACTATCATTGGACCATTTTCACAAGAAACAAATCCACAAATAATTTTGGTCGGGTGGGGGATTTACACTAGAACGTCATTCTTACTGACAGAAACTGAGGGAATACGGATGCAGTCCCACTCTCATGAAGCGCACCATGCAAAAACGAGAAAAACTCATATGAAGCCCAAATGGAGTTCCATTCCAAAACCAATTGGTGGAAGGAGGAGTAGCCCATTAGACTTATAAAGTGCATCTATTTTCCATGTATGGACGATGTAAGTGATATTTTAACACGCCTCCTCACTTGTGAGTCATTCGAAAGCCCAAGCCCAACTGGCTGGGTGACGGGTACGTCATCGCACGGTCACCAACAGAACTGGCTCTGATAACATGACAGAAACTGGGGGAAAACGAGTGCGGGCCCACTATCATGAAGCGACGGAAAAAGTCCATATGAAACTCAAATAGAGTTCCATCCCAAAACCAATTGGTGGAAGGAGCAGTAGCCCATTAGACTTATAAAGTGGGTCTATTTTTCATGTATGGACGATGTGAGACAACTCACAAGTGATATTCTGACACTTACGATAAGGAACTAGTTATTTTACGATTGAATGTTTCGTTTTACTTCTAACAAAACATTCTTTAGTTGGATATTATGTATAGCCCATTTTTAATCTAATGTAAATTATGTACTTAGTTTCGTAATGTTCATATTATTCTCGGAACTATTAAATATTCCAAGTGTAAATCAATTTATGTTCAATCGCTCGATAAAAATATTATCGAATCAAATCGTACTTAATCAAGCGGTAAACGTGTTAATCTCGCGCTAATCATACGTGATCATACGCGTAATCGTACTTAATGGTTCCTCAAGTATATTAATTATGTTCATTTAAGCTTAAAGTGTTCATTTGATCATCATGTACCCCTAAGTATTAGTCATTGCACGGCAAGTGTGTGTGATTTCCTTTGATTGCCCTAGCTAAGCTAATCGCGAGCAAATCAAGCCTTAAACGTGCTTAGGTATTTAATGAACGCAAGTGGACGAAAAGCTTGGGCAAGTCACGTGAATAATTATCCTTCCTAGCACATGTGGCCTTTTTGTGCCAAGTAAGTGATGACTAAGCCAAGGACATTCCACCTCATGGCCCTAGGTTGCAGCAAATGGCACAAGCCCATTGGCCGTGCATTTTACCTCACGTTTTCATCCCTTTCACCGCCTATAAAATCCAACGTTTGGACATATTTTTAGCTTATAAGCTAAGCTATTTCCTAAGCATATTATAAGCAAGATTAAGATATTTAACCTAGCTTACCGTACGCACGCAAAGGAGAAGAAGAAGGACCAAACCATCACCAAATTCTTGTCAAGTTTCTTCGGGCAATCAAAGGGTAACATGATATTAACCTTATTATGATGTTATATGTATCATGCCAAGTTCAAATTATAGGTCTAAGTTCATGTAATGATCGAAAACGCTCTCGGGTGTGCATTTTAGGGCCATATCAACTCATCTCTTTATGTAGTCGACTTCTCTCGAGCAAACCATGCATCATTAGTCCTTATTTAATGTGATATGTTCAGTCAAGAAAGATAGCCCGAGATAAGTTGTTGTTTTGTCGATGAAATGGCTAGGGAAGTGGACCGCGCACGTAGCGCGCACCCACGGGCCGTGTCTCACCCTATTAGGGTATCTCTCATTATGATCAAATTTGTTAGGGACATTTATGTTCCAACAGCCTTTAAATGATAAATTATGGTCAATCAACTCATGTTGCTCGAGAAAAGTTCATGTTTGGTCGAGGGTACTAGTTAAGACCGTCGGACGCGCCTATCGCGCACGCCATGGCCAATCATGTTAAATAAAGATCAACTTTCATGTTATTGTCACGACCCTCAGGCCTATGTATGTATAAAAATGTTAATCGAGTCAAGTTATGTCATATTGGTCAAGGTAAATTGTCGATTGGCCGGCAAGGGCCGGTCACGGACATGCTGCCGCACATAGCGGCCATGCTGCCCTAGCGTCATGCACGCGTGACCCCGAGCCAGTCGCTCGTGCCACGCGCAGTTAACCTCGGGTCGTGCCAACAGCGCACCCGAGTGTTTAGTACCATGCCTTAGCGCACCCGAGTAAGGTTCAGAGGCTTTGGGACGTGCCCTGCCGCACGCCCGAGCAGTCAGTTGGCCCGGGTCGTGCCCAACAGCACGCCCGTGTGCCCCGGGGTCGCCCAGCAGCGCCCTGACAACCTTAGTCGCACCCGAGACGCGCGAGAAATGTCTGGTCGCGTCAGTCCTCGCGCCAGCCGCACCTGGGTCGTGCTAGCCGCACGCTCAGTGCCCCTTCAGCCTCGGTACGCGTTTATTCCGCGTCTCTCGTGCCAGGGCCAGTGCCAGCCGCACTGCCCGTGCCCAGCAGCACTTAGTGCCGAGGCCCGGTCGCACCTAGCCCGTGTCCAGTGCCGTGCCATGGCCCCAGCAGGCCCGGCACGGGACCGAGCCCGGCCAACCCGTGACCACCCGGTTTAGTGTGAACCGGAGGTCCAATCGATCCGGTCCAGCCGACCCGGTTCATCCAGTTAGTGAACCGGCCGGTTTAGCCGACAGTTCGAGTCCGTTTTGGTTCGTGATTTTCAGTCCGAGTCTTATTCTGAAATTTAAATTATTTTCCGAGCCAAATCAAATCAGTTAAGCATATCAGTATAATTTCCGGACTTAGAATTCATTTCTGTAAAACCTTAGTGCATTCCATTATGTCCGGATATCATATTAAGTCGAGTCGAGCATCTTAACAGTTAAATTTATTGATCTGAGCATAGTACTTAGTAATTGTTTATATTATGTTACAGTTTGATCAGTTCACGACTATCAGCACTTCCAGTTTCGTATCTTCAGTACAGGTGGGGACTCAGACTGGGTATTACATTGATTATAATTACGATATCATGTTCAAGGTATGTCGATTATGTTTTCCGTTTGGAATGGATGTTGGCCGGTTCAGGTTGCCATAATTCCGTTCTAAGCTCTAGTGGCGTCATCTACCACTAGTATGTGCACATGGATTCCGGCTGAAATTATTATCATCATTATCATTATTATCATGGCAGCCGGTAGATTCACGGGTCCCGGTCCGGTTTATACTGTTGACCAGGAAATTCACGGTTATGTTATATGCTTCTGATCATGATGTTACTATTATTTTTGCTGTTTACTTTAGTATGAGTTCCTACGGAGTACAGTGGTACTCACACCCCATTTTTATCAAATTTTTCAGGTCACGAAGTCGGTCCGGAGCTGTGAAGTTGACGGATGATCGAAGTTAAATATTTTACTGTTCTATTTTGCCATGCTGTGTTCCGCTGAATTTCACTGTTCGACAAACTTTGACTTTTGATCCGATTTCACAGTCGGATTGTATATTATGTTAATCCGTTTTGCTTGTAAATTTTAAACGATCGTAACGGATTTTTAAAGATAAAATAAATATTTTAGTAACGCTCCAAATCATTTTCTCAAACTATTTTAAAAGATGTCTTATAAACGCATTCTGATAATTAAGTTAGAGCGGGGCGTTACATATTAGACAAACATTGTTGAAGAATGATCCGTAATTTGCAAATGAACATTCACTTGAAATACAATAAAAACATAATGAACACTTTAAATTATGAATCTTAAGAACAATTGGTTAGCTGCACAATCTGGGCTCATATTTTCCGTTCTCTAATCTGAAATCAGCAAAATAGCAATTCACAAAAAACATATTAGCCAATAAAATTTCATCCAAGGGACAAACAATTTCAATTTTCAATCGTTCAACAGCATCGAAATTTCAGCAGTGGTTGAAAGAGAATGAAACCTCAAGAGGGTGGTGAAAAAGACATCGGGTAAAAAAAACGAAGGGTACAACCAAAATATACATCTAGAAGTCTTGTTTTCCTTATATCAATACCGTTGAGAGCAAATAAAATATCAACCACAGCAAAGCTTCTCAAGAGCCAAATTCTCATCTCCACCTACGCTCTCCAACGCACTCCTTACTGAAGCTTCCGGAAAACCCATCTCCAGGAGCTTCTGGACCTGTTCAAAAACATTATTGATTAGTGTTTCAAATAACAATACACAAGATAACGANGAGAGGAAAAAAAAAAAAAAATCAATCAATCAATCAATTTTCAGTTTCCAACTTGATAAGCTGAGATCCTTTTGTTCTACAGGTGTGTGTATTTCTCGCCATAAGCTGACAATTTTCTTTTTCATTTTTCCCTTTCCGGTTGAGTGATTGGATATGTTTTCCATGTACATTTAGAGCTCGTGTTAATATGAGTATTTATAAAGCTATCTTTTATATAGAGCAAAATCAGATCAGACAGCCAATTATACTATAAATATCCCGTTAAGACGTATGTTTCCTGTTCTATGAAATTAAAACTTTAAACGAGGGCAGGATAAATAAAAACATCCAGTGAAGTACAGATAAATAATAGCTGAAAAATTCTTTTGTAATTTTTTACACAAAATTTAGAGATATTTTTGTAATGACTTTCAACTCAGCAACAGAAATACATTTTCTCTTTCCTTTTCTATAAAAACTTGCTAACCTTTTCCTCAACACCAATAGATGAAGTCATGGCAAATGATTCAGTCCAGTAACGAGCTGTGCGAACGAAAGTAGGGTGCTCTTTTAGATACTGCA